GATGTTGGCAATTTGATCTCTGGTTCCTCTGCCTTTTCTAAAACCAGCTTGAACATCTGGAAGTTCACGGTTCATGTATTGCTGAAGCCTGGCTTGGAGAATTTCGAGTATAACTTTACTAGCGTGTGAGATGAGTGCAATTGTGTGGTAGTTTGAACATTCTTTGGCATTGCCTTTCTTTGGGATTGGAATGAAAACTGACCTTTTCCAGTCCTGTGGCCATTGCTGAGTTTTCCAGATTTGCTGGCATATTGAGTGCAGCACTTTCACAGCATCATCTTTTAGAATTTGAAATAGCTCAGCTGGAATTCCATCACCCTCACTAGCTTTGTTTGTAGTGATGCTTCCTAATGCCCACTTGACTTTGCATTCCAGGATGTTTGGCTCTGGGGAGGGAGCATGAAGGAAGAGAAGTTTCCACACAGTAGGAAACTGTCTCACAGGGGGCTCTGTGGGGAGATTTGGAATCTCAGAAGGCAACATAACCAGGAGGGGGAAAAAAAAAAAAAAAACCCCACAGAATACAGGCCTAAATGCAACTGGGGAAAAGAGAACTTTCCTGGGAAAGGCTCTAACCTAATAGCATAACAAGCAGCCTGGCCTGCTCAGAGAACAAAGGATTGAGCAAATACCCAAGGGGAGCTAGCTGCATACTGGCCCCTCCTCACCTGGAGGCAGAGAGGCAGGCTTTTGACAGCCAGAGCCAGAAGGCAAGGGGCTGCTGCAATCTCATCCCCAGAGAAGGCTGTGAGCAGGCTCCCAGCTGCTAACCACATCTTCCTGAGATCCTGGATGGTTGACATCTGCCAGGCAGGTCACAGCCTGAGATTAGCTCTCCAGAGGAGACATACAGCATACCTGAGATGGTGTTCTTGCAGCACACCCAGGAAACTGAGCAACCAGGACCAGGGAGGTGATTAAGACACACAGCCCACCTGGGACAGTGCTATCACCAAGCACCTGATCGCCTGAGCTGCTCAACCTGAAAAGGGACAAAACGCATGCCCAACCCACAGAGACCAAGCCAGAACTGTGTCTGAGTGTCTCCTGTGGCGGTACGGGTCATCAGAGGCCTGCCGCAGGGGCAGGGGCTCTGGGTGCAGCAGACCTGGGTGTGGCATAAGCCCTCTTGGAGGAGGTCACCATTAACCCCACCATAGAGCTGCCAGAACTTACAGAGGACTGGGAAACAGACTCTTGGAGAGCACGAACAGAACCTTGTGTGCACTAGGACCCAGGAGAGAGGAGCAGTAGTAACCTCACAAACTGACCTAGACCTGCCCCCGAGTGTACAGGAGTCTCCAGCGGGAGCCTGGGTCGGCGGTGGCCTGCTGCAGGGTCGGGGGTCACCATTATCTTCACTACCTCCACCATAGTTTGGCCTCAGGTCAAGCAACAAGGAGGGAACACAGCCCCGCTCATCAACAGAAAATTGGATTAAAGATTTACTGAACAAGGCCCTGCCCATCAGAATAAGACCCAGTTTCCCCCTCAGTCAGTCTCTCCCATCAGGAAGCTTCTATAAGTCTCTTATCCACCAGAGGGCAGACAGAATGAAAATCACAAACACAAGAAACTAACCAAACTGATCACATGGACCACAGCCTTGTCTAGCTCAATGAAACTATGAGTCATGCCACGAAGGGCCACCCAGGATGGACAGGTCATGGCGGAGAGTTCTGACAAAACGTGGTCCACTGGAGAAGGGAATAGCAAACCACTTCAGTATTCTTGCCTCAGGAACCCCATGAACCATATGAAAAGGCAAAAAGATAGGCCTCTGAAAGATGAACTCCCCAGGTCAGTAGGTGCCCAGTATGCTACTGGAGAAGAATGGAGAAATAACTCCAGAAAGAATGAAGAGATGGAGCCAAAGCAAAAACAACACCCAGTTGTGGATGTGACTGGTGATGGAAGTAAAGTCCGATGCTGTAAAGAGCAGTATTGCATAGGAACCTTCTACTGGAGGAGAATGGAGAAATAATTTCAGAAAGAATGAAGAGATGGAGCCAAAGCAAAAACAACACCCAATTGTGGATGTGACAGGTGATGGAAGTAAAGTCCGATACTGTAATGAGCAATACTGCATAAGAACCTGGAATGTTAGGTCCATGAATCAAGGCAAAGTGGAAGTGGTCAAACAGGAGATGGCAAGAGTGAACGTCGACATTTTAGGAATCGGTGAACTAAAATGGACTGGAATGGGTGAATTTAACTCAGATGACCATTATATCTGCTACTGTGGGCAAGATTCCCTTAGAAGAAATGGAGTACCCATCATAGTCAACAGGAGCCCAAAATGCAGTTTGATGCAATCTCAAAAATGACAGAATGATTTCTCTTCATTTCCAAGGCAAATCATTCAATATCACAGTAATCCAAGTCTATGCCCTGACCAGTAATGCTGAAGAAGCTGAAGTTGAATGGTTCTATGAAGACCTGCAAGACCTTCCAGAACTAACACCCAAAAAAGATGTCCTTTTCATTATAGGGGACTGGAATGCAAAAGTGGGAAGTTAAGAGATACCTGGAATAACAGGCAAATTTGGTCTTGGAGTACAAAATGAAGCAGGTCAAAGGATAACAGAATTTTGCCAAGAGAACACATTTGTCATAGCAAACACCCTCTTCCAACAACACAAGAGACAACTCTACACATGGACATCACCAGATAGTCAATACCAAAACCAGGTTGATTATATTCTTTGCAGCCTAAGTTGGAGAAGCTCTATATAGTCAGCAAAAACAAGACCAGGAGGTAACTGTAGCTGTGGCTCAGATCATGCACTCCTTATTGCCAAATTCAGACTTAAATTGAAGAAAATAGGGAAAACCACTAGACCATTCAGGTATGACATAGGTTTAGCTGACTCCAAAGTTCAACTATACCTCAGCCATTGTGTATGAGGCTAGGTCAGGAAAAGAAGGCCAACCTCATCATTGGTTGAAATTTGTATTTGAGGAACTGTGCATAAACTCAGTAAAAACAACTGACTCAAAAAAGGCACATCTTCCACTTACCAGTTTTCAAGTCACATTTTATGGTTTTATTTGATCCTCACAAAAATCTTGGGAAATGAGCAGGGCAGGTATTTAAAACCCAAATTAGGTCATTGAAATCTGCAATTCAAGAATGGTTAAATTACTTGCCCAACATCAAACAGCTAGTGAGTTAAGATAGGGGACTCTTCTTCAGGTCTCCCAACTACTAGTTATCTGTGGCTTGGCATTAGAAAATCTCAAACTGGAAAATTATAGTATATGTGAATTTCTAATAGAGCCATAGAAGTTCCAGGATTCATCAGCAGCTCACCGTCTGTCTCAAGAATTAAGCTTGAATAAGTATGAGCTCTGTCAATTCTGGCCTGCATCAGGCAATACTCACTTAAGCGTGCCTTTATGTGATTTGTAAATAAAATTCTGTTTGCTTGATATTCCCTGTGGCTGGAGAGTAATGTTTAAACATCTTCAAAGCTATTTTTACTCTGCTTCCTGAAGCATCTTGTACACTACTTACCCCAAATTGGGCCCTGTTCTGCAGGTTTTATTCAGGTAAAACTAATGGAGTTTCCCCAGAGTAAGGGATGTGTAATCAATCCCATTGTTTGATTTCAATGGCTTATTACTGGGTGGGAGAATTGTTATAGCAGAGGCAATTTAGAAAATCAGGTACGATTGACTCTAGTCAATTTGCATAC